CCTCTAAGAGCTTACTGTGAATCAGCCGTTCATAGTGTTCTAGAAGGGAGCTCTGGAAGAGAGGCTGTGTTAGAAGTTGGTAGGCAGAGCCACCAATGGGCAAGAGGCAGTGGCGGGGGGAATCAAGGGAGAGCTTGGCTAATGATATGTGCTCAGCATCCACTTAATTTTCCCCATAGGCGCTCCAGCCCCAGATCACCCACAGAGTCGACACTAATGGGTGCTATCACAGCACAAACAAAAAAGTAGCCAATCAAGTAAGGTGTGTCAATAGTGTGTTTTCTATTTGTGTTTAAAGTGCCAAACCCAAGTTTAGGCACTGTATAAATAACTAACCTATCCCTTCATATAAAAACAATGGGCAAAGATTAAATCAAAGAGCAGTACATTGAGAAGAAAAACAAAGAAAAAAATTCATTTTTACCCAGCATGTAGTCAGAATGGAAATGCCGCACTAGGACTACTGAGAGGACTGGATCATTTTGTTTTCCATTGGTAACATTTGCTGTTCAGTAATGTGAGAGAATGATATGGACAACTGCGGTAAACCAAGTGCCATGGTTGATTAAGCCCTTCATGTACAGCTTTGAACAATTTGTTACTTATAGCAAAAATGGTAGTTCTGGGGCTGGGGGGTAGTTGCCTTTTTCTGAAAAAAATCAATTGTTGACTGCTGCCAGAGGCAGAGTATCAATCTAAATATATCAGATAAGGCACAACAAACAAACTTGGTAGGTATGGATCATAGTTTCAAAAGCACCAAAGTGACTTAGGAGCTTTTGAAAATTTTACAAATCATTATTTGTAGTTCACAGTTTCCTAAAAACATTCAGATATTAGGCTCTGATCCCACGAAGGCATAAGTACAGTCTTAATCTTTATGCAATGAGCAGTCCAATTGATTTCAATGGTTCTTCTGCCAACATATAAAGATAAGCACACACGTAACCCTTTGCAGAACTAAGGCCTCAGACTGTCAGTTCTCCAGGGCAGGGACCTGGTTATTTATTATATGTATTTTCTATTTGTCTTTGAGTGCTCAGTAAAGAAATGACAATAGCAAAGGG